GGCCAACTTCGGGCTGCAGGCGGTGTTAGTATCGCGGCCGTTTTCTCTGATCAACTTCTCCGCAGAAAAGCGGTGACTGTTGCCAAGTCGAGGAAGTTTCGGGACCATCACGGGAAGGTTCTGCTGGAGGGTCACAGGCTGATCAAGGATGCCCTGCAGGCCGGAGCTGTGCTGCAGACTCTCTTCTTCAGCACCGTGGGCCACCTGAAGGAGCTGCCCGAGGCAGAGCTAAAACGAGCCAACTTAGTGAAAGTGAAATTTGAAGACATTAAGAGCTGGTCTGACCTCATAACTCCTCAGGGGCTTATAGGTAAGTTGCCTTGGAAACAGTCACAACACTGCTCAAAGGGAAACTTATTCCACACTTAATAAGTGGATAATGATTATCTCCTCGCCAGCTTCCCCCAGACACCCTGGCAGTGTGTCAAGAGTGGAGTAATTGGAGAGGTTTCCCTTTTATTTGCCCTGCTGTGGTAACTGCGAAAGTGGCTCGTAGGGTACATTCAAGGTCCTAACGCCCATTTTCAATAGCACGTTGCTCATACGGCACTGGGAAATAGTTCTCATTGCAAAGTGTCAAACTCTTATCAGACTTCTTTTAAGTAGCACTTTTCCTAATGCTTTCTCTGGCACATCTTTATAGTGAAGTTGAGGCCAACTAAAGCACAGTCAGCCCTCTCCTTGGGATGTATTAGAGTCAGAAGCCTATCAGCACTTTGTCTCCTCAGGGATCTTTTCCAAGCCTGACCATGCCAAGATGGCTTATCCTGCTGCTCAGCTAACCAACTCATTGCCAGTGCTCCTAATCTGTGACAACATCCGAGATCCAGGAAACTTGGGGACTATTCTGAGATCTGCAGCAGGAGCAGGCTGTGAAAAAGTGCTGCTCACCAAAGGTAAGAGCCTTTTCTTGGGGGGAGGGGGAGGGAAGAGTTTAGTTTGACAAATTTGAGGGTAAGACGGAGAACAAGAGGTCTTAGGATACTGTTCCAAGACTCTTTCTGCCCAGACATGCTTTGCTGGGGGAACCGCTACTGAATCTCTGTGTTTGTTGGAGCTGCTGCACGCTCACTTTTTTCTTCCCTTCTGTCTCAGGCTGTGTGGATCCGTGGGAGCCAAAGGTGCTTCGTGCAGGTATGGGAGCTCACTTCCGTGTGCCCATCGTTGCCAATCTGGACTGGGAATCTGTTCCCAGCAATCTCCCTGCTGGCGTCCAGGTCTGTGTGGCTGACAACAAAGACCCAGGCGTGCAGACTGAGACAGAGTTCACGTCAGGGAGCGCCAGCAGCTCCGTCTCTGTTTCTAGCAACTTGCAGGCTCCTGTAAAATCAAAACCCAAGGCTCATCCTTCTGAGAGTGAGGCTGGGGAGGGAATGGCGGGTGTCGGTGTCCCAGAGCTCGCTGCACAGTATTACTACGAGAACTGGGTACAAACCCCTGTGGCAGTAGTGATTGGCGGAGAGACCCAAGGTCTGAGTCCAGCTGCACTTCACCTCGCAGCGAGCACAGGGGGGAAGAGACTGGTCATTCCTGTGGTCCCAGGCGTGGACAGCTTGAACTCTGCGATAGCTGCTGGTATTGTGCTGTTTGAAGGGAAGAGACAATTGCTGTGGAGGTACAAGCAAGATGAAAGGCAGACGTTCCCTGTGGTAGGCTAAGCTGCTGAGATTCGGGTGCTGAAAAAAGCATCTCTTTCCTCTGGCATCCGGCAGAGGAGTTAATAAAAGAGCAGCTCAGGCTGTTTTGTTTGTGCTATCCTGTGTATTAAGTAGTTCTGACAGGGGCAGAACTTGCCTGGAGCCAGTCCTGCTTCCTGGCACCCACCACCCCAGCTTGTTCCCCATAGTGTGAGTGGAACGTGAGAAACTTTCGGTCTCCTGGGTACCTGCGTGTTTGCTGAGGGGAGGAGGCTGTGGGATTAGATACGCAGAGCCTACTCTTGCGCCCCTCCAGGGATGCCAGAGAGGGGTTCGCAAAAATGTTTTCACAGCAGCGCCTCTCACAATGACGTGGAAGGGCCCCTTCGCGTGTGCTAAAAATCTCATTCCGTGTTGGCAAAGCACCAACAGTTCAGTGTCACACCTCAAGGCAGAGCTTAGCTGTGCTGCCCACAGTGAGATGAGGAAGCAGCAGCGCTGTGCACGCGTGGCCCCAGGACTGGCAGGAGCCCA